CAAAGCATTCAGCAGATGAACAAACATCTGTACCAAGTTTTTAGCTTCATCAAGTAGATAGTCAGAAGCTATGTGTATAGAAATAGAAGAATGGAGACCCGATATCAATTTGTACAAGATTCTTTCCTCTTGGCATAATTCATCAGATGGATCTGCACAACAGGATGAAAATCTACATGGATTAGAAATTACATTAGATATCTTATCTCTGAAAGAAACTTACATTTTTAACAACTGCATCATGAATAAATCTTTAAAAGCATTTAGACCAAACAAGCTTACAGAAGAGATGGTATAATAAATTTCAAAAACTGACAGGCAGTTTGCATTAAGTAAAAACAAGCAAGACTAAGTGGCATTCTGATCGCAAGAGCCAAGTAATATCTTTAAAGAAAAAGAATTACATTTCGGACAGTTCTCTGAATAAACAGCATCCCATATCCTTCTGGCTGATGGACCACTATACCCAGTATACCGCTCTGGGTTAAGCTGAAGATTTACATATGTCATTTGATCTGCAAAAGAAAATTCACAAAAAAATTTCGAATTTATTTTGGCTTTCCAAAAAATACAGTTCATAAAATATATATTGTCTCATTTTAAGAGATGAAATTCAAAACGATGAATGTTCTTGGCAAAGTTGATTCATTACAAGAGTTACTACATCCACTATTCATATAACAGCAACTACTGTGAAAACAAATATGATATTAGAAAGAAAAGCAATAACAATAGCACAATAGTTATAACAAGATACTAAGTCAGAAAAAAATTATTGAACAAATAGGAAAGAATATGCATTAGATTCACCAGAAACAGAATCAAATGTACCATTATCTGTCTCATCATCATATGTCCAGGGATTGTCCGTTTCTGTCCAGCCCCTAAAAGCTTTGCTTTCTAGGGTACGGTCAACAGCTGCTTGCGGTTTTCCTTCTTGACACACAGGATCATCTGATGGAAAAGGTTTCTTAAAGGATTCAGGAAATTCGCTTTCTTGGCATTCACAAACACTGCAATCCCTCAATCGGCACATACCATCATCTGGCCAGAAAGGGCAGTCACACCACAACTTAACCTATTGCCAAAAAGAACAAACAAGGATTCAGTGAGAAAACAAATATCATCAAAACCTTATGAAAAGAAATAATTACCCATAAGATTAGGCATCATAAATTCTATCAAGTAATGTTACACATTCTTCCTATTTCAAAAAAAAGAAAATGTTTATACATTCTTTCACAAGTGAGAGCAAGAAGTTTCACAACATCATAGCAATAATTCAAGATGGTTTTACGTATGCCTTCTGTTAAATAGCATTTCTAGATCTAATAAACAAGCTCATAATTGGAGTTAAATCGACATTGAAAGAGAATGGAAAAAAAAAAAAATTCTATAATAAGAGTGAGATGAGAAAACACAGACACGCATGTTCTCTAATATTCTACTTCCAGGCAATGAATCACAAGCAAACCTTGAAGTAGCGAAAAAATGGGGTTTTAACAATATCTTGAAGCATTGAATGCAACACTTCCTTATTAAGTCGGTTGACAGTCTCGTAATCACAACGACAATCCTCCACTATCCCGATGTACTTTTGTTTTCCCTGCACAAATATGATCTATTCAGCGAGAATTGAAACTAAACTATACAATCTTCAGCATTTCCCCATAGTTCGATTGCAAAAAAGAATAAGCAAGGGAAAGTAAGAAAACGAAAAGACTGCACGGAAATAGTTTCAGTTGATTCAGCAAAACGATGAAATTTTGTTACCAAATAGAAAAATCTATAAATTGCATTTAGAACTCAGTAATTTAGCAAGTTTACACGTTCGGGAGTCTCATCTGTCACTTCCAGACCTTTCATCGAGGCGAAATTATCGAACTGAGCACTCAGACAATTACTATCGGTTTTCCTTGTTTTCCTCCACTTTCTCAACAACTAAACAAAGAATGCCGAGCAAGAAAACCATACCTGATCCAAGTGACAGGACTTGTCAGATCGTCCAAAGAGAGGTATCCTCTGCGTATTACAAGCAGTCATAGCGATTGCGATAAGGAGCGAGAGAAACGCGCCAAACACCCAACCCCATCGCTTTTTCTCACTTCTCTTCTCCTTATTATCCCTAACCTCCGTTTCCGCCATTCACAAAACAATGCCTAGAAGCCCCTACAACACTTCGTTTGGTTCTTCCTTAGAAAATTCTCAACACAGAGAAAAAACTATGCTCGAATTACTTAAATTCGTTACAAGAAAAAGAGAAATTAATAGAGTAGGATCTCTAAAAGGAAAATTTACCTAGAAATTGAAGATTATAGAAAGAGAAGCCGAAATTAATAAGAAAATTCCTTATATTGATCATCCTGTTGATGGTTTCTGGTTTCCTGCGTTCCATTTCAAACTTTGAAACAGTGGGCATGTCAACAAGAACACAAATCCATTGGCGGAGGCCGGAGAAATCAGACGGTGACTGGAAACCTCCTTTTCGGTGGGCTGACTTTCGGGGCTCGGCCACTTAAGAGTATTGTATTTAATTAATTATATTAGAAAATAATAATAAATATTAAAAATAAAAAAATAAACTAATATAATTATTTAGGTGATACTATTTTTTATAAATTAATCTAAAATTTTATATTATTTTAAAATATTTATTTTTAATTAATTATATTCAATAAATTTAGACACAAAAATTATAATTTGTAATTTTTTTAAAAAAAATTATACTTCAATCTCAAATTTCATTTACGACAAACACATATTTTGAAATTTTTTTAAAACGATAATTTTTTTTTTACGGTTATTTCTACTAAAAATCAGGTAACTTTTTACTAGAGTACTTCTAATAAATATCAAGGTTTGTAAATTAAACATGTATTTAATAATAAACTGTATGTTCTCTTAGATGATTACTACTTTCATCAATCTCTTAAGAAATGTGAATTTGGGTTTCGGACCGTGTACGTCTTATTATAAGATAATAAATGAAGAAAGATATGTAATTATAAAATTATATTTGGTAAAATTTACATCTT